AGATTACAAATGTGATGTTGATTTTATACAACAGTTCAACAGACAATAAGTTAATATTGTGTTACATTTTAGACACAATATTGTCTGTTTTTGTACAATTTCACTGACAAAAATGTTACCTATAAAACCCTGATTAACACACTGCGGTGTTTCCTTACTGAATGAATTTTGAACGAATCAAATGAATCAATGATTCAGTGAGCCAACCATAACAACAGTCCCTGCGTCCCAATGTGCATACTATCCATCCTAAATAGTATGTGAGATTAGAATAAGTGTGTCCCAAAGCATAGTACGTTGAAAAGAACATGCAAAAAGTCCCTAGATGGTCTACTATTTCAGGTAGATTTTTGAAGTCTGGATCCATGCACACTCTAATGGCTAATATTACCCACAATCCATTGAGCTTTGGCGAAAGCTTGTCTACTCTTCAAACACACACTCAAAAGTGTGTACTATTTCTTCATCAAAAGAGTACATACTTTAAGGGTGTAGTATAAGCAGGCACATTGGGACACTGTAAATCATTTGCTTAGTTTCTAAATGAATCACCTGTTTGAACGAATCGGTTGAATGAATGACTCACTCATATAGACAACGATTTGTTGCCACCTATTGGTGCTTTTAGTTTTATATTTGGAGTATCGTTTCTTTCTTTTTAAAAATCATTTCATATGTCAGTATTGTGTTTTTGTATGTTGAATCAACATATTTCTTTCTAAACCTACTTTTAGGTTTTTTTTGCAAGGTTTTATTATATTCCCAATTAACTAATCTAATTAATTTTATATTAATACATTAATTAGATGAATTAATCGGCATAATGTGTAATTACATTGAAAAATTTAATACAGTACACACTAAAATCATGTTAATTTACAGCCTACAATCTATTCACTATTTGAATTAAAGTCTTATTTTTCATGAGCAACTGCAAAGTTTCAGGAGTGAAAACTGCATGTAAACAGGTTTGGACCCAACTAAATTCATATTTGATTTTATATGTATATTTTATTAAATAAGCCAGTAAAAACGGATTTGCTGGTAAATTAGCTTAATCTTCTAGCTAATGCTAGGTATCCATCTAATCAGCATAGTAGGAAGGAAAGTTAATATAAGGGATGTTTGTATGGGTAGTTTACAGCATTAAGGTTAAAATTGTCAAAAATATCCAAATAGAGGCGTGTAGTTGATTGCAATTTAAATACGGAGTGAATCCGCTAAACTAGACACTAAATCTTTAAACGCCACCAAATACCTTCTGGCATTTTACCTACAGAGAGACAACTGCTAGACGTTAAAATTACTCACAATGCCTAAATTATGAGAACAATGATTAAACTGATCTAAAACCAGCACTTACCAAACAGAACAAGACCAGAGGACTGAAGAGTTCGCGTTGTTATGGTTCTTCTTCTTCTTCTATTGTTATTGGCGGAGAGCAAAGAAGTTTAAGATGAATTACCGCCACCTGCTGGACTGAAGGTGGAAGAGCTTTCCAGTGGACCCCGTTATTAGTGCGCATGCGCAGATGACGCTTTTGAACCACCAAAACCCCTTTGCTATTACTAAACTCAATTAAAAATGTTTCCTTAAATGATGTTAGTAACACCTTTTATTTCCCCAAAACTAGGCTACAAGTCGCATTTTTTACAGATATAAAGCACAGCATTTCGAAACAAGTTCTGTTTTACTTTTTTTGACAGCTCTTAAATCAATGGCGTTGTTAAAAACCAGCCTAAACTGCAATGAGCTGAATGAACATGTCAGAGAAAATTACATCAAATGATTAATCAGTTTCTAGATCAGAAATGATTGCAGTTAGAATAGTCTCCCCCGTTTGATTATTACTGTAGGCTGCCCTGTGTTGTTACTCTAGTGATGTTTTTTAGTAAATTCACTGAAAAGTGACAGTAGGTGACAAGAAGAAAAAAAAAAAAGGAAAACATTTCTGAATATAGTTCAGGGTTGCACTGATATAAAGCCGGTGAACTTCAAATGTGCACGTAAGGATGACTCGGGTGCAGCGCTCACAGTAGAATATTTGCTTTAATAAAAGTCCATTTCAACAGAAACTGGACCTCATGTTGTTCATATTGTTTCAGCAGCAGCAGTGAATGCTAAGAAACAATTTAATTCTAATGAAGAATTGTAACTTTACTACAGATTATGTACAGTGGGTACGGAAAGTATTCAGACCCCCTTAAATTTTTCACTCTTTGTTATATTGCAGCCATTTGCGGGCAATAACTCAGCACTCGTGAACTGTTGAGCTCTTAAGCTCTTGTTTCTCCAGTCATATTGACTTTAATTTTGGACAATGCTTCTTTCTGTGCATCTGTGCCATTTTGGAGTGAGTGAATCTCCTGCCACACGGAAGGCACTGGAACGGTTTCTCTCCAGTGTGGATTCTCTCATGGTCTTTTAGGGCTCCTGACTGTTTAAAACTCTTAATAATAATAATAATAATAATAATAATAATATGTTTAATTTATATAGCGCCTTTCCCAAGCTCAAAGACGCTCTACAAGGTACACCAAAGCAGCAAATATTGATTACAAAGAAACAATTTCATTGGACATTTGCCCAATTCAGTTACAAATAATGCAGTTGCATATAACACAGATTATG